CAATTACTCGGCTAAAGGACTCGAGAAAATAACTCATCTAGAGATTCATTCTCAATAACTCACGTAACAAGAGAATAAACATAAACGAAAAATCATCGAATCAATTAGCACATAGACAATACGCTTCCGAACAAGTCTATTCTTAACGAGCCTAGATCGGTCGATTTTTCCCCTTTTGGTTCTAAAAATCAATTTAAAAGATTAGGATGGTGATCAGTCATCTAAACCCTAGGATTAGCACAACTTGCAAAGACAGAGCAATCAACATTCACGTAAACGAAAACGAACTGGAACAATTATCCCCTACCCTAGTTAACGAATCTAGCCACTCATTGCAAATTCAACACAACAATTCACAATTAAACAAGCAATCATATTCATATACAAAATGAAAAGAAGTGCTTACGATTAATAACGAATCCAATGTCGAAAAAACAACGAGCAATCCGAATTCAAAAGTCGAATCTTTGAGTTTTCACTATCCAAGATTGAAATCCAATGAAAAACTAAGAGAAAAGGGTTTTGGAGTGCCAAAGTCGAAAATACAATGTTCAAAGATCAGTAAATGAATGCCGTATGTTCGGGATATATACTATCCCGTTCAAAATCCACAAAAATCGCGACTTCTTGAAAACAGACCCTAGCGGTGCTAGGGTAGGGGTTAGCACCGCTAGGTAGGTGCTAGCGTCGCTAGGTGCGAGATAGCGGCGCTAAGGTAGAAATGCTCACAGCCTCAGTTGGTCTCTAGGTATGCTAGCGCCGCTAGCTGAAACCCCTTATTGGCGCTAAGGGAGCCAGCGACGCTAAGGCCTGGGTCTTCACAATCTTGTTGATTAAAAATGGCTAATGGCCATCGGTTGACTCGTGGGCTCACGACTTAGGTCTTTCAGGTTCTGCCTGAGATGAAAACTCGATTTTCATCTGCTTAGGTCGCACGAACATCATGGAACTCCTAGGAACCGGAACGGGATACCTCTTCCCTCGACTAAAACCTGTAATTTCCACCATAAGAAAAACACGAAAAATGGAGAAAATAGGAAGAAAACATAGAAAATACCAAACATACAAAAAAGAGATGACAATACCAGAAACGACTAGACGGACCAGAAAAACCTATAAAACGACCTAAACGGGGGAAAAAGACACACAAAACACCAACAAAAATAGCAACAAAAATTGGACAAACAACTCCCCCACACTAAAACCTTTGTTCGTCTCGAACAAAAAGAAAAGAAAGAAACAAAACAAGCAAACGAGCATGGATAACAGGTTCAAGCAAGACAAGTCTCAAATTAATCAACTTAGCCGAGGAGACTACCAATGACCAATATAGTGTTTGTTATGTTTTTGTGCTTATTTTTATGTGTTCATGTGCGTTATCGAGTCGGTTTTAGGTTTGTTTTAGTGTCGACCGGTCCATTTTATTATTTTTCGTGTGTTTTTGTGTCTTTCGTATTATTTTATATTTTGGCGTACTTGTCCGTGTTTTGTGGTGTATTTTTAGGTTTACTCCGAGGATGAAGAGACGAAGCCTTTACAAAGAAATTTCGAGTCAATTCCGAGTCAAGTCGAGCCATTTCGTACGAGTTATTTATTACCTGAGTATGTCGAGTTTTAGCTATGCCCGTACGAGCCCTGCAGCTTACTCGCGA